CTATCTATCTATCTATCTATCTATCTATCTATCTATCTATCTATCTACACTATATTGCCAAAAGTATTTGCTCACCCATCCAAATTATCGGAATCAGGTGTTCCAATCACTTCCATGGCCACAGGTGTATAAATTCAAGCACCTAGGCATGCAGACTGTTTTTACAAACATTTGTGAAAGAATGGGTCGCTCTCAGGAGCTCAGTGAATTCCAGCGTGGAACTGTGATAGGATGCCACCTGTGCAACAAATCCAGTCGTGAAATTTCCTCGCTCCTAAATATTCCACAGTCAACTGTCAGCTGTATTATAAGAAAATGGAAGTGTTTGGGAACGACAGCAACTCAGCCACGAAGTGGTAGGCCACGTAAACTGACGGAGCGGGGTCAGCGGATGCTGACGCGCATAGTGCGAAGAGGTCGCCAACTTTCTGCAGAGTCAATCACTACAGACCTCCAAACTTCATGTGGCCTTCAGATTAGCTCAAGAACAGTGCGCAGAGAGCTTCATGGAATGGGTTTCCATGGTCGAGCAGCTGCATCCAAGCCATACATCACCAAGTGCAATGCAAAGCGTCGGATGCGGTGGTGTAAAGCACGCCGCCACTGGACTCTAGAGCAGTGGAGACGCGTTCTCTGGAGTGACGAATCGCGCTTCTCCATCTGGCAATCTGATGGACGGGTCTGGGTTTGGCGGTTGCCAGGAGAACGGTACTTGTCTGACTGCATTGTGCCAAGTGTAAAGTTTGGTGGAGGGGGGATTATGGTGTGGGGTTGTTTTTCAGGAGCTGGGCTTGGCCCCTTAGTTCCAGTGAAAGGAACTCTGAATGCTTCAGCATACCAAGACATTTTGGACAATTCCATGCTCCCAACTTTGTGGGAACAGTTTGGAGCTGGCCCCTTCCTCTTCCAACATGACTGTGCACCAGTGCACAAAGCAAGGTCCATAAAGACATGGATGACAGAGTCTGGTGTGGATGAACTTGACTGGCCTGCACAGAGTCCTGACCTCAACCCGATAGAACACCTTTGGGATGAATTAGAGCGGAGACTGAGAGCCAGGCCTTCTCGTCCAACATCAGTGTGCGACCTCACAAATGCGCTTCTGGAAGAATGGTCAAAAATTCCCATAAACACACTCCTAAACCTTGTGGACAGCCTTCCCAGAAGAGTTGAAGCTGTTCTAGCTGCAAAGGGTGGACCGACGTCATATTGAACCCTATGGATTAGGAACGGGATGTCACTTAAGCTCATATGTGAGTCAAGGCAGGTGAGCAAATACTTTTGGCAATATAGTGTATCTATCTATCTATCTATCTATCTATCTATCTATCTATCTATCTATCTATCTATCTATCTATCTATCTATCTATCTATCTATCTATCTGTCTGTCCTTTTTACATATCTCTTAATTCAGCAGTTTGCTGTCATGAATAGAACTGAAGAGTTTATTGCATTTGAAACTATAGTTAAATATTGTTTGGATATCAAAACTAACCAACTGTAACATTCTAACCACTTACCTAATGTACAGTCTGATCTCCTCATCCTGCCAAAAGAGTTCTTACTAGTTAAGCCATGGTCAAAGAGCAATTGAAGGTATCTTAGGTTTTTGGGCTTGCCCTCCAAAGATGATCAGATCATGTCAGATCACCTCAGTCTCACAGAACATTGAATTAGACCAAGATGAGAAGTACTGCTTATTTCCCTTTAAGTGGTCATAATCTTATGGTTTGACTGAGTATATTTTATTTGAGGATAACTCGTTTCAGGTATCAGATTTTAACCAAAAACATGGCAAACAGAGCATCCCTAGAATGTTTGTGATTACACATACACATACATAAACTCTTATTTTAAGATTGATGTGGTCTAAATAAGATTAGTATGAACAAGACAATGATTACTACATAAAACTCCAAAAAGTTATGGTTCAGTATTAAAAACTGACAACACTGCCAAAGCAACCAAAAAGATTGGTATTCCTGCTCTTCAATCAATTGCTCAACATTATCACGTTTGCATTTCTAACCTCCTTCCCTCTCCCACTGTATTTTACCCCATTTAGTTTCAAAGGTACAAATATTTCTCAATAGTTACTGAAGTACTACAAGCAGTATTTGCTTCCAGCAAGCTAATCTGACACAGAGTAAAAGCAAGGAATGAGATAAATGGGGCTCATGACACAAGATAGACAGAAAGAAAACAGGAAAGACAGACCTATGAAGCTGCCCAAAATGTATATGTGCTGTATTATGTCTCTCCAAGCACCATTAACCTATCAATCATGGACTTTTATTTAGAAAAAAATACAGCTTTAAACAACTTTTGCAAAAAAAAGAAATCACATTTACAAAAATAATTGAAAGCATGGCAATGTTGTGATTTTCTTTTTAAATTCAGGTAATACAGTTAATAGCAGCACTTAAAATAATGTAACAAAATATTTTTGTTTGGGTTGAATACTTTTTCTAAGCTTATCTGTGAGCCTTACAAAATCCATCAGAACTTAATCAATTGCTTATTCACATAGGACAATGAAGAAGTTAAACGCTAAACATTGACTATCTTAAAAGAATCTAGGGTAATATTTAATGGTGAAGGAATTTTTTGTTTTCATTTTTTCTCTGAGTAAGAGTGATCAAGGGAGAGAGAGGGGAAGAGAGAGAGAGAGAGCAGTCCCTGATTGCTGCATTTGGAATAAGGATTCACCAGTTAGATGGGAGACAGATGAAAGAAAGAAAGATGGGAGATAAGTGGAGGAGGAGGAGAGGTAGAACTGTGAAGTGCTGACATCGGTTAAAGGTGAAAGAGATAAGTGAAGTGAGGGAGTAAAGTCAGAACAAGCAAAGAAAAAGATTGAGGTGAAAATAAAACCAGAGTCTAGATAGGACTGAGAGTAGAAAGTAGGAGGTAAGTAAAAGGCATTTTGTGGGACACACAGGAACAAAGAAAAAACACAGATATGGAAATAGGATGTGTCATTGAAGGAGGGAGCAAGGGGCATTATACAGAGTAGAATCTAACATGAGTTGACATTCCAAATGCAGATGAAGGCGAGAAAAGGGGTTTTGCCAGAAACAATGGGCTTGAAGAGGAATAAAAGAAAAAAGGGAAAGAATGAAAAGAGAAGATTAAATGCTTAGAAAAACAAAGTCTATGTCCATAACCTCGCATGTAAAATTTAAAGGAGTTTCAATGTTGAATACGGTTTAAAAATATGTCCACCCATATTCCTGGTGACACCTGTACAGGAACTCTTACTTGAGTAACTTCAGTAAAATAAGTGACAAGCAATTTAAACAGTAAAGCAAGGAAAATTCAGTTCTGATTATATAATTCTGTTGAGAAGTGATGACTGATGACAAGTGAGTTGTCAGATGACAGAGTATTGGAACGGCTGCGTGTCTGCCATCTGAGGCGCTTTTTTTCGTGGTCATTTTCAGAAAGCTTCTATCCAATTCATACTGACTTGTTTGTTCTTTTCTGTAAAACACTACTACAACACAACCCTTCCAACTGCCTCAAAGGAGGAATTAGCATCATTGGCCTCAAAGTCAGTAATCCAGTCACTAAAGTAGACAAATATCATTTAATGTGTATGCCAGCCAGAAATATGTATTTTCTCATTTGTCTGAAACTAAAATAGTCTGTGGATGCTCTTAGACATCTGTGGTGTAACATAATGCCACCAGAGTCCAACACAGCAAATGCCCTTGTTTGTTCTCTGGCACAAGTCCCAGTATAGATCTGCTGTGACCCAGTAAAAACATTTTAGTTTTAACATGCCCTTACATTTGGGAGGCAACTTATTCAGTTTGTAACTTTGCGATAATAGAAGACCTTGGTGCATATATAGTGACACTTCCCCATTCATATAACAGAGCAATTTAACAAAGATATCTTTACTACATGCACTATACATTATGTATTAAGTACAAACACATCTTTTTCGTACTGATTTCACTTCACCCTGAGTAAATGTTAAATTTAAAACTAACATGAATGTTACATGCATTCCACTTCAAATCAAGAATGTGTTGCAATTGCAGAATTATAAAATAATTGCAGAATTACGCAATAAATTTATATTTGGGAGGCAAAACCATGTAGCTCTCTTAAAATGACACAAAAATAAATTGCACTTATTTGCATATGAAAAAATAACTACTGAAAAAAAAAGTATGATATTGCTAACATGTTGAATCATTATTGTCTGAACATTTTGCAAACTAATTAACTTTGTGATCATAAGTAGAACAAGCTTCCCTCCTTCCCTTTTGCACAAAAAACAAGCCAAGGAAATCAACACTGTTCGAGTAGAGTGCATTGGTTTCTTACCTTCTTTGCAGTACTTCCCCTTGAAGCGGGTGTGTGTGCAGTCACAGTGTACATCTCCGAATTGAATAGAGCAAAACCCTCCATTGAAGCATGGGTTTTGTTTGGTGCAGAGGTACTCCAGGTCACTCTCAATGCCCTGGCTGTTTAACAGAGTTGGTGGCATCTCCCCAACCTTCAGATTGGAGATTAAGCCCTGAAAGGGTGGCTCGTACTTCACTGTGCTCGATGTCAACGCAGACAGGCGAACATCTGGTGGGATTCCACCCACAAACAGGTCACTGACCACCGCCATTTCCTTCCTCTTTGACTTGACCTCAGCAACCTTTGTCTCCCCGTCCACCATCAGCAGGGTCTCGCGAAAGTTACGGGTGAGCAAGACCATGTGCCAGCGGTCATCATTCACCTGTGTCTCCATGAGCAGAGTGGCAGGCTCAGCACAGTGGATGGCAAACCGCAACTTGAGACGCCCGCCAGCAATCAGCAATTCCAAGAAGTCACAGTTCCCACCGTCGTCCAGATAGAGTACCGATGCTTGGCTGATGTTAGTCTTAAGACTGAAGCTCAGCTCTCCCACTGATCCAGCTTCCCAGCGCCCATACCGTGCATACTGGCCAGGCGCCCCACCAAATTCCAACATCTGCACCGTCGTGAGTATGCTGAAAAGGGCCACAGACCACAGGGGCCAACAAGGGTATCTCGACCCTCTCGTCATGCTAAAAGTTCCAAATTCTCCCCTTATCTATCAGTTGCCTTGAGGGTCAAATCGACCAAAGAGCTAAGGCCTCTTCTCACCTTAAATAATAGTTGAAAAAAATTATAATAACTATTGCAAAATACCTGACCTATAATAAAAAAAACAATCTTAACACTAGCCCAAATAAAAATTATCTGGCCAGGAAGCAGTTTCTACTGTGCTCTCTGGTGCTCTTATTCTTGTCCTTATCCTGACTCTCTCCTTTGTCTCTCCATCAGTTGGTGTCTCCAGGACAAAGGAATAACAGGAGAGTAAAAACAACTGATATTATAACAATTTTACCATAGCACTTTCTTCAAAAGCTTTTCATCTATTCTTAAAATACAAAGCCTGTGTCTAGAATCTAGATTTAGATACAATTTGAGCTTTAGCCAACAGCTTGAAAAAATATGATCTTTAAGGGTAGCGTGAGGAGAAGGGGAAAGATCGCAGAAGAGTTGACAGTTATCAGAACCTTCTGGAGTCTGCAGGAGCATGTGTTGAAATCATTTTTTTCTTTTTCCCAGCAAAAAGCCACTCTTCTCACAAACGGTATGGAATCTACAGATCTATGCAGATACGGGTTCCATGGTAACAAGGGCAGGGGAAAATCTGGAAGAAAAGAGAAACAAATTACAATATTAATTGGAAACAAACATTTGTGAGATTTCCACTTTAGCAATAGAGACCACAACACCAATGGTGTACAAATAATTGATTAGGTTAATATGGCTTCTTAGATCTGTCACAAGGGTGGATCTTAGGGAAGACTCAGTCGTGGAGATTGGTGAAAACAGGGTATATTGTAACAAAAACACACTCAAAAAGAGTGGACTTCCAGACAAAGTTCGAAACAAGGCTGTGACAAAACTATGAACAAAGTATCAAATCAAGATTAATGCATATGCATGATAAAGCTTTCATATGAAAACATATATACTCATAATATAAGCAAGATGAGCCAGCCCATTAATCCTGTTCTGTGAGAAGCTAACCGGTGTACCATCAGTCAGCATGAGCTGCTGCTGCTACTGCTGTGCTCTAATTAACCAGAGCAGCATGCAGAGCCACTTTCAATATTCCCGGTCAAGATGGAAAACAAGGACTCAATAAAATGTATTTTTAAAAAGTTGGAGGTGAGAGAAAAGCAGAGAGGAACATGACAAAAGGTTGTTGCCATGATACTTCAGATACCCTAAGATGGGGATTATTGTTCTTTTTTTAAAATAAAAAAAGGTAAGAACAAACAAATATAACAAATATTTGTGTAAACCACACATAAGAGGTCATACATTTCACTGTAGATTTTAGAACCTCTCAGTTGGATAGCACAACTCAATACCCATAATGACATTAAGGAGAACTGCCATTGGAGAAGCCCCCATGTCTTCGCAGAGAGGGAGAACCCCTATGGATTGAGTCATTAAGTGCTGAATCTACAGAAATCCAGTGATTTTGAATGTTTGGTGTTGGGCAATAATTTGAGTCACTTGGAGGGAAAAATCTCTCCACGCCTGGGAAAAATACATTGTCTCTGTCCTAATATATATAAGTCTATCTTGATACAAGCGTGAGAGCAATATGATTAAAGCCATACCGACTTGGACGTAGGATGTGGGATTTAGTGAATACCTCAGGTAGCAGGAACCCGAGCAAGAACAGGAGCCATCATGGCAGGACAAACCCCTGCAGGGCATAGTAGCATAGTAGAAGTGTATAGTAGAAGTGGCTGATATCACAAAATCCTATCAATCCTGTCAATGGACAAAGCTGGACTGACAGATAACACAGATGCACCAATCACGGCAGCAGAGGAACGACCCCTAAGCACTAAATCAACAGAGGCTGAAATCCACCACACTAGGCCGGACCGTCACTGCATGCTGTAGAAAGACACCACTGACACAATCCAGCACATAACAGTAGGTTGCAAGATGCTAGCAGGCATGGAAGGCCATAACCAAGTGGTTGGTATATTATACGGGAACATACAGTATATGCCAAGTGTGGCCTGGAAGTCCCTAGGTCACAATGGTATATGCTCCTTTGGGTAGTTGACAGTGAGCTAAGATCTTCTAAACTTCCAGATACAGACATACAAACTGATGATGGTTAACTAACCAGACTTTGGAGAGTGAAGGTGAGTGGAGAGACTCCCAATCTGGGGGAATAGCTCCAACATACCCCAGAAACAACATCCGAAATCTCTGCATGCGCAAATCTTTCTTGAGACCGTGCAGGACGCAGGACTCTCAAGCTCCCAGGCCTCTAGTGTAATCAAGCAATTATTCAACATCAGTTTACAATTTATGATTGGGATCATTGGCTAATAGTCACGAGTTATTGACCGAGGTCATTGTGACTGCATTCAACGTAGGTGTAAAGATGCAAATGGACCAGCTCAAGACCTTAAGCTTTACCTATTAGCTCTGTAGCAGTGAGATTATTAAGGACTTTAGAAGGACTTCTTCGGGCTCCTTTAGCTGTGAAATCTTGACAAGGTGAATCATGGGGGTAAATGAATTTGCTCTGCAAGCTGAAATGTTAAGAATGTAATGAAAAGGCAGTCAGAGGATAGGTTGCTAAATGTATCAATCCTCTGCAGATTTGACCATATACTGATAGGTAAGGTTGAATAATTAATGGAACTTTAATTTCAATCTTGATTTTAACTTTGATTTTGATTCTAAAAATGCAGTGTAAAAATAAAACAAGTGCACTATGTTGACAGTTATTTCCTAGTAAGAACTACCATTTTCATAAGCACACAGGATTAGTACATTTGAAGGAATGTTGGTCAAAATGGATATAAAAAGCACATATATGTCCATACAATAGTGAAATATCTTTTTTTTTTTTTTTTTAGTTTATTTTACTGCCAGTTAATGAAGATAGATATCCTCCCCTAAAATGTGTGTTTTGTAAACACACATTTTTTTGGATGGATGGATGGATGGATGGATGGATGGATGGATGATGGAACTTCAATTCTGACTGATCCTTGTTTTCTCAATCAATCACATGTACAGTTTTTAAGATCAAAATTTCAACATACTGTACACAATAATCATGTCAAATAAGCCTGAAGAATATTACTCAATATTTATAAAAGAGGAACATTCAAAAGGGAGAGGAGAAAGAGGGACATATTTCTCAAACTAAAATAGACAAATGGAAATAAATATATATACATATATATATTTATATATGTATTACGTTACACCTGAATTATGGCGTCACAATGGCACGCATTCACGTCATCCTCCACATACTTGAGCAGTTGGATCCTTTGTTCTTTCTGTCCAGTCATAGAATATCAAAAAGGGACTGAGACACATCTCCTTATAATGATTTTTATCTCCAATCGCATTTATCTTTTGCTATTTACAAGTATGATACTTGATCATAATTGATACTAATATCATTCAAGTTTCAGGTGTTACGAAGATTGAATTTAGTTATGCATGGATCCAGTCTCCTTATTACAATTATTATAAAAATAGGTTCCAATAATAGAAATTATCTGGCAGATAACTCATGACTTCATAAAGTAAATGTAGCATAATTTTAGCTCCATCCGAATAAGCTAGGAAGCTGTAAAACACCCACAACTGGCTGTCCACATCATACAATCAACAAACTGATTCTTCTTCCCTGCCTACGTTCACAAGCACTGTCCCATCACCAGCTCACCAGAGCTCTGTTTTGCATGATGATCATTCAACTATTGAGCCCTGTACCTTCCCTATTACTGCCCATGTCACCGACAGACACATTTTTCCTGCCATCAGAGCCAGAGGTAGAGATAACTCTACTAATTATTAATCACGTTCGACATTCACTGTTTAATCACTATGGACCCTGCTCTCCTCATGTCCGGGGGTGCGGCGTGAAACTGGGTAACCTAAGGCCTGTAAGCTGTTCGCCAGAAACAGCTACCTCCTCCTAGGTTTGCCAATGTATAACTGGTCTATTGCTAATAAATCTTTTATCCTTAAGGGCTTCTTTGAATCACGGGAACTGGATTGCCTTTATATTTCTGAGACTGGTGAGTCCAGTACCTCGCCTAATAGGTACATCATGGGTGTGGTTATTTCAACTCTCTACAGATTTCAGCAGGAGGAACTATAACTGTTTTTAAGAGTGAATTTATGTTTATGTTTATGTTTATGCATTTGGCAGACGCTTTTATCCAAAGCAACTTACAGAGTAGACACAATATTACATTTCTCATCACAATGACAATAAACTATATAGAGCAGAAACACTGATCAGAGTCAGTGGTGAGATAGAGATAGAGGTAGAGGGACTACAGAAGGAGCTGTGGGGGGGTAGAGGTACGGGTTAGGGTTAGGATAGGAGATGCTCTTTGAAGAGGTGGGTCTTCAAGAGTTTCTTGAAAACAGACAGGGACTCTGCTGTTCTTGTGGAGCTTGGTAGGTCGTTCCACCATCTTGGAACGACACATGCAAACAGTCTGGATTGTCTTAAGCGTGGTGAAGGCACTGCTAGACGACAATCCATTGATGACCGGAGTGATCGAGTTGTGACATAAGCCTTTGCAAGGGGACTCAAGTAGATGGGAGCCATACCCTTAAGCACTTTGTAGGCTAGCATCAGGGACTTGAATTTGATACGGGCAGCCAGAGGTAACCAGTGGAGTTCAATGAACAGAGGGGTGACGTGAGATTTTTTGGGCAGATTAAAGACCAGACGCGCCGCCGCGTTCTGGATCATTTGTAAAGGTTTTACTGTACAGGCCGGGAGACCAGTCAGGAGTGCGTTGCAATAGTCTAGGCGGGAGATGACCATAGACTGCACCAGGAGCTGGGTAGCATGTTGTGTTAGGTACGGCCGGATCTTTCTTATGTTTAGTAATGCGAAGCGACAGGATCGAGAAACAGAGGCAACGTGATCTTTAAGGTCAGCTGGTCATCAATCATGACACCCAAGTTTCTTGCTGCCTTTGATGGAGTCAG